AGAGAGAGAGAGAGAGAGAGAGAGAGAGAGAGAGAGAGAGAGAGAGAAGCAGAGAGACACAGAGAAGCAGAGAGAGACAGAGAGAGAGACAGAGAGAGAGACAGAGAGAGACAGAGAGAGACAGAGAGAGACAGAGGGACACAAAGAGGGAGAGAGAGACAGACAGAGACAGAGGGACACAGAGAAGCAGAGAGAGACAGAGAGAGGGGGCGGGAGAGGAAAGCAAAATATGGCTCAAAGCCGCAGAAGCTTACAATAGAGCTCAGGAATCTTGCTCTCTTTCCAGTCCCACAGGCACACGTGGTCTCCCGAGGAGCCTATGGGAGGTGAATGAGTCCCGTAAGAATAGAAGTTTCTGGGCTGGACTAGGAATGAGAAGGAGAAGCCTGGGCCAGGGAACAGACATAGGAGTCAAGTGGCAAGGCAGTTCTGAGCCTTGTCACCGTGGCTGGCTACTGGCCAATCTGGAGGAGCCTCGTCCTGTCTGGGTAACTGAGCTTCCTCCGGAGGAGGAAGGAAACAGTTAATGTCTCAGGGCAGCTGCAATCAGCTAGGCGGGGCTCTCTGGTTTGACTTGGGCTACACAGATCCTGAGCCAAGGGACTGAGGAAGGACGCCTTAGTCCTAGTCTGCAGAGTCTCCAGATGGCTGAATTGGACCTGATTGCCCCAGGGCCTCTGACCGGGGTCACTGTTCACCCTTTGGCCCCTCTTGGCCTAGACCCTGGGTCAGTTATCCCAGTAGAAAAAGAAGATGCAGACCCTCTCAGTAAGCCAGGCGACGAAACCCAGGGGCAGGGTCCTGACCCCGCGAAGCTGAAGCTCGGGGCTCCTGGTGATGAAGAGGAGGGGCAGATCCTGTGTGACTTCTGTCTTGGGGACAGCAGAGTAAGGGCAGTGAAATCCTGTCTGACCTGCATGGTGAATTACTGTGAGGAGCACCTGCGGCCACACCAGGAGAACAGCAAACTGCACAGCCACCAGCTAACCGAGCCCACAAAAGACCAGGATCTGCGTACCTGCCCTGTCCACCACAGCCCTTTGGTTTCTTTCTGCCACACGCACCAGCAGTGTATCTGCCAGGAATGTGGTGAGGGTGAACACAGAGGCGACAGTACTGTCTCCCTGGATGCAGCCCGTAGGAACAAAGAGGTGAGTGGTGGGGTCTGTCCACCTGGGAGGGGCCAGTGGGAGGTGGTGTCCCCAGGGAGAGGTCACACATGCTGCCATTTGTGGCTCTGTTGATGCAAGTTTGTTCCGAGTCCATAGACAAGAACATTAGCCATAGTGCCCGGGTGTTGATCTGGTGTGAGTATCTATAGCTGCTGGCTTTGGAAACAAAAGTGGGTCACTGTCCTCATCTCAGTGTCCCTGTTGTTCCCATTGTCTCTGTCCTTAGGTGGGAATTTCCTGCTGTTTCTAGTTAGTATTTGGCAACGTTTGGGTGTGGGCTATAGAAGTTAGCCTCGGGAGGGTGGTATTTCCCAGGGGCAGGATCTGCGAAGCATATTCACCATCAACCCATGAAATACAAACCTTGGTAAAAGTCCAAGGGAAAAGAAGAAACCTCAGACTACATTTCTCTTTTTCTTTTTTCAACCACAAAACCCACAAAAGAAGCTAACACAAAATGTTGCATTAGAGTTAAAAACAAAACAAAAAATGCCAAGATAACAGAATTTGAAACACACATTGAAGTTAATGCCAAGGACGACTTAACTTACTGGAAAAGAAAAGGTTCTTTACCAGATTGGCTATCAGGAGTGTCTGAGAAACACTGTGCTCAAAGTCTCAAATTTTACTTCTATCAGATTAAGAAACCATTTCTGGAGCACTGCTTACCTTTGTCCTAAAGCCAAGAACCCAAATGAGACCTTGTGGGTGGACTCCAAAGCTTCCCATGTTTTATTTCTCCTACTTTGAGTGGCCCCAATAGGGAACAAGGTTGACTCAACCCACAGGTCCTGCTTCATGCTCAAGGCAGTTCCCTCTCTGCACTGCCCACGGTTGGCCAAAGACCAACCCAGACCCAGAGTCTTTTTGTGGCATGTGTCCCTGGGCAGTGAAGGAAAGCGGTGTCTGGGCAAGGAACTTTCCTAATCTAACCTTTGTGCCTGTACCAGAGGCAGAATCTTTCTAGTCCTGATGGGTGTAGCTCTGCGGAGTTCTACACTCCAGATGCTAATGAGTCACCATTTCCGGCCTGGGATGCCACTTGTCGACTGTTTCCAGTGTTTCTAGTATCAAGGGATATCCTGTAAGGAAAGTATGGAAATCAACAAATACATCAAAGGAAAGAGCCCCACCCAACTTGAAAATACTTTGTTTTTTTTTGTGGATTTTCCCATCTGATATTTCAGTAATTATTAGGTGAGAGCTCTGAAGGTCTTTGTTGTATTTGTTCAAGTTTACATAGTTGATGAGCGAGGCGTGGAAGCTTCTGGAATGCTGTCTTAAAGGAGAAAAATGAAAGAAGACCCTCAAATTGTGACATTGTAATATTTATTCATTTGTGTGCATGTGGGTGCATGTGTGCACGTGTGTTGAGGTGGAGGTTAACCTCAGGGATCCTCTTCAGGAGTTGTCAAATTTAAAAAAAGGTCTCTATACTCAAGAATATCCTATAGGTATGCAATGAAATATTACATATACACCCATATAAACATATCTCCCCCAACTATTCTGTATCCACCCAATATACACACTCTCAACTCAATGTCTCCTTCTCCTTCTCCTTCTTCTTCTTCTTCCTCTTCTTTTTTTTAAATATACTCTAATAAGTCTAGTTAATGCTGCCTATTTGAGCATGGATGTGGGGCCATCCACGAGAGCATGGGAACCCTGTCAGACCATACCCTCAAGGAAGAGTCATTCTCTCTCCCTCAGCAAGTATCAACTGCCAATAACTCCATGTTTTGCTTGAGATGGGACAGGCTTTCTCATTTGGACCAAAGTTAACCAAATAGGCTGGGCTGACTGGCCAGCAAGACCCAGGGATCTAACTGTCCCTTCTTCCCCAGCACTGGGCTCTGAGCACATAATACTATGCCTAAATGTTTTGTAATCTGAAAATCTTTTAGATTTACTTTATGTATATATTTTGCCTACACACACAGACACACAGACACAGACACAGACACACACAGAGACACACAGACACACAGACACACACACACACACACACACACACACACACACACACGGGGACCACCTGTGTGTCTGGTTCTTGTGGAAGCCAGAAGGGGGTGTCAGTTCCCCTGGAACTGGAATTATGGAGTGAATTGAGCTGCTGTGTGGGTGTTAAGAACCAAACCCAGGTCCTCTGCAAGAGCAGCAAGCATTCATAATGGCTGAACCATCTCTCCAGTCCCCAGCTTAAAAAAGATTTATTTATTTTTTTATGTATATGGATGTTTTGTCTGCATGTATGCTTGTGCACCACTTGCATGCCAGGTACCAGAAGTACAGAATGTTGTGAGCCACCCTGTGGGTACTGGGAATTGAACCCAAATATACACATAAAATAAATCTAAAAGATTTACAGATTACAAAGCACTTAAGCATAGTATTGTGTGCTCATCACTCAATGCTGGGGAGGGAGGGACAGGTGGATCCCTGGGTCTTGCTGGCCAGTCAGCCCAGCCTACTTGGATAGTAGCCAGAGCTCTTAATGGCTGAGCCATCCCTTTGGCACACTCAGTTTTTTAAGATGTGTGTTCTGAGTATTGAATTTGGGTTCTCATGATTGTGCAGCAAGCACTTTACTGACTGATCAAGTATTTACTCCCCAGACCTAAACAACAACAAAGCACACACACACACACACACACACACGCACACACGCACACACCCCCCCACTGGTATATATACATTAGAGACACTTTGGGCCCAGCATGTTACTATTCTCTTTGGATATAGTATCTGAATTTTACTATTTTCTTATTGGAAAGCCTGTGCACGAGAGTGTTTTAAAAAATCTCTATCAAATAACGTAAGAGAGTAGAAAGGAAGTTCTCCACCCCGATTATACATCCCACATCCTTCTTCTCTGATCAGAACATCTGTTTGGTTCCTTCGGAAACGCGCTGTGCCAACACAGATGCAATATAAGTGGAAGTATAGGCCACCTAGTATACCACGGAGACTTGGGTGATAGCACTTTGGGTAGGAGGAGCAGTGTGGAGAACACACAGAGCTCTAGATGTGGAGGACAGTGTGGAGCACGTACAGAGAGCCCCAGATGTGGAGGAGCAGTGTGGAGCACATACAGAGAGCTCCAGATGTGGAGGAGCAGTGTGGAGCACATACAGAGCCCCAGATAGGAGGAGCAGTGTGGAGCACATACAGAGCCCCAGATGTGGGGGAGCAATGTGGAGCACGTACAGAGCCCCAGATGTGGAGGAGCAACATGGAGCACATACAGAGCCCCAGATGTGGGGGAGCAATGTGGAGCATGTACAGAGCCCCAGATGTGGAGGAGCAGTGTGGAGCTCCAGATTATACATCTTAGGAGAGCTGTGCAGTACAAAATAAATGAGGCATCTGGCTGAGAGGCTGTGGGGAGGTACAGCCTGTGTCATGCACCCTTCTGGCTTTTGGTTTGCTTCAGGGAGCTATGTCCTTTGCATCCTATGTCCTTATTATCAGACAGGGGGCACGTTTACTAAGTAGGAACAGTCACACTCTGGGTCGCTCCACCAAGTCTTAGGAGTCAAAAGACTTCTTTCAAGGAGCCCAAGAGGCCAGTTCAGAAGACAGTATCTTAAAGAGACGGGCACCATTAGCATTGTTTTGAAAGACATATTAGATATATCTTAGGTTCCAGAAGCCAAGCATTCCTCTCAGTCCCTCCTGCATGTACTAGCTTTCTGAAGGTCACTTTGGAGCCAGTAAGGGCTAATAAACTCATGCACGCATGTTGTGTACAGGAAATGGCAGAGTGAGGTCAGCTGGGAGGGCACAGAGTGACGTTTCTGTCAGCCATGTGAACCCTTTCTGAAGTGTCCATGGTTACTACCAGTTAGACTGATGGATAAAAACTGGGGGTGGGGGTTGAGAGTTGGATGCACCTGATCATTTGTCCCATCCGGATAAACTTCCAGAGCCTAGCTGTTCCTACAGGGAGCTCAGCGCTCCTCTCAGCCCTGGCTCAGCTTCCTGAGTCTTCCTTTTTATCTTGTCAAAATCTCACTTGCCACCAAGTAAATGAGATATCCATCTCTCTTGCTCTCTCTCTCTCTCTCTCTCTCTCTGAAATTTGGGTTCCTGGGACTACTTTTGTTATTTTCTCTGTCCCACAAAGTGTGTATGGTAACCTTCTGCTCCTCAGAGTACATCTGATGGGGTAAGTGGGATGCTGGCTGTGCCGTGTACCCTCAGAGAAGAGAAGGGAACACACACACATGCTATTATTCTATGGCATGCCAAAGGGCTGGTGAAACACAACTGCTGTTTGAAGGAGGGACTTGGACTGGAAGTGACAGCAGGGCAGTGCTCCTGGAGGAGGGAAGGCTGAGCTAAGTCTTGCCTAAGGCCTTTGAAGACCACTAGTGCCGGGCTAGCTTTAAACTTAACATTGATTCCAGATGGTCAAGGTGGACCCTGACTGCACAGTCTCCATGAAGAGAAGGTATCAGCCATTCAAGAACTGGAAGGTTTTGAGTTTGTCTGGAGAGCTGTCAACCAACATCACCCAGTCGTTTGCAGGAGGCCAATAGGTGTAATGGGGCCACTCAGGATAATACTTCCTCACAGAAACCAAAATGAGTATCTTTGGGTCAGTATTATATAACCTGTTTGCTCACAAGCACCATACTATCCCATAGTATGTTTTCCAAGAGCCAGGAGTGTGGGTGACTTAGTCGATCTCACTGGCATGTCCGCAGGTCCTGATCCAGTCACTGAGGAATGGGGTCAGAGTCCATTTCTAACTCTTATGATACTAAAAGTGAAGTCAGCCTTGCGACAGAGTAGACAGTAAATGACTTGGCCAAGTCCTACAGCCAGGAACAGGGTCTTCATGCCCCAAGTACCATCCTTTCTCAATGCTGTTTCAATCCTATGCTGTCTGTGCTCTCAGGCACCACGGTCCAGCTCTCAGGCAGGGTGTGCCAGGGCCTGGGATGAGTGTGTGGCTGCTGCTCTCTCAGGGTACCCCGAGGTCAGTCTAACTCAGCCTATCATTTTCTAGGAACAGGAATAACTGGAGAGACGAGGCTCCAAAGCAGCCCCACCTTGTGTGGTAATTGGGAGTGTTTCCTTTGTGGTGACTCAGAGCTCCTCATTTGGTGCCTAGGCATTCCTTTCTCCTTTTATGGAAGTCTGAGGACAGAGGGGGAGAAGCCCCTTGTTGGACACCCCAGGTCTCTGTAAGGCTTGAAGAGATCAGTGCTTTTTTTTTTTTTTTAAAAAAAAGTCTTTGGGGGCACCACTGCTCAGATGAGCCAGGTTGTTAGGCGTGCTCTGTGTGCCTTCCAATTCCTTCCAGCAACCAGTTCACATTTCCCTTCTTGTCTGGAATGGGTCACTGCATAAGATTCCAAGCTTGCCCTCAAACTGGTCAGGCACCCCTTTTCTCCTTTCCCTGGTGCCCCACTGCTAGGCACCAGGTCTCAAGTATCAAGGGTGCCCCTAAGGATCCCTAAGGTGCCCTCAGCGCCACTCCAGTGATCAAGAGCTTGAGCAAAGGTTGCCTGTCTGCCCTCCACAATGTCCCAGTGCTCTGCCTATAGCTATTTCCCCCAGTGTGTGTGTGTGTGTGTGTGTGTGTGTGTGTGTGTGTG